GGACCTTCTGGTAGAAAGAAGCAGGACTGCCCTGAACCCCTGACCCCCTACATGTTCAGAAGTGTATTAGGTTGGTCTGAAGCACTGAGTGACTTTGGGGAGTGCTCCCTTAAAGTGAAAAGCTTGTCAAAGTTCAGGCATTATGTGATTAAAAAGAAGAAGAGGAACAGGCCCTGTAGCCTCGTGGTTAAAGGAGCTGGATTCCGCCTGGCCAACTGTGGTTTAAGTCCTATCCCTGGATTCCGCCTGGCCAACTGTGGTTTAAATCCTATCCCTGGCTGCTGGAGAAACACACTGGGCACATGTGTGTGTGCCCCAAATCCTGACAAGATGGGGACATGGAGGAGACAGGATTGTGGCATAACCACGCCAAATTCCAGGCTTGCTTTCGCTTTCTCTTTCTCTCTCTCTTTCTCTGTTTCTCTCTCGTTCTCTGGTGAGAACACATTGCCTCTGGTATTTAAAAAAAAAGAAAGAAAGAAAGAAAAAGAAAACAAAATGGAGAGAGCCCAGGACTCTAAGGGCATGACCATTTCCATTGGCTTTACTGAACTGGCGGCTGGTGCTTTCAGACTGCTCGCAGTGTCACAGTTGGGGACAGGCACCTCAGTGAGCCAGCACACAGGACTGGCCCGGCCTTGAAGGACTTCTTACTCCTTACCACAAAACAAAGAGGCTTGAAGGAGAATGCTTTCAAAAGTCATTTCCAGCTTGAGTAAAACCTTGAACTCTAAAATCGTTAACCAAGAAGTTCTGAGTAAATCACCAGGATTAGAATAGGTGTCAGGCCAGCTCATAACCTGGTGGTTAAGGGAACAGGATCCCGGATGGCTGGCACACGGTTCCAGTCCCAGACACAGTTACTTAAACTGGGCATGGGCACTTGGAGGCCCAGAATCCTGGCAGGATGAAGAAATGGACAGGAGTTAGGGGCAAGACCATGCCCCATGGCGGGGGCGGGGGGACTTTCTCCCTCTCTCTGTCTATCCTTGGTGAGCACACACCCCTTCTGGCAAAATAAATCAATAACAGTTTAAAATATACATATGTAAAAGTACAGTCTGGTAGCATTCCTGATTAGCATGAAAAAGCACACCGAGAGAATGCAGACCAGCTCCGATCTCTGGGCGGGCCTGCTGTTAGGAGGTCTGCAGTGGATGCAGACTGAAGGGTCTGCCCTAGTGGCTGGGACACTCAGAGTTAAGATCTGCTGCGCTTCAGGGTTAGGGGAAGGCAAGGAGAACTCGAAGAGGAAAAAAGCGATTGAATTAAAGGAGCCAGATTACTTATGGCAGTAGAAAAGGCACAAGCTTCTCCTCTCGATCCCCGACAAGCTTAGAAAACCTGCCCAGCCACAGAAGAGGACATCTGGTAATCTGTAGAACACAGCAGCTGGGGGGCTTTCCCCCATTAACCACCCAACTGACATCGCTTCCTCTTGCCCAATGCTTATGGGCTCATTCTCCTGCCCCCTTGCCAGTTTCTTTCTCTCTCTTTCTAACTTGCCAGAAGGCATGTCAGCTTGCCCTCACGACATGGAGGAAGAGAGAAAATGACACCTTCCACTGGGACATGCAATCCCTTTTTCATTTCTCCATCCCGTCGGAATGGGGGGCACATAAGTACACCGAATATTTTTCAAGCCGCCTAGGCTGGGACTTGAACTGCTGTTTGCCACATGGGATCCAGCTTCCTTAACTACCAGACCACAGGGCCAGCCCTAGTTTACTTTTTAAAAGAATTTCTCAGACCCGTAGTTTAATCAGGAACTAATGGGTGGTGACAGAACTCAGCCAGCAGTTGGTCTCCTCTGCTCTGTCCTGCCTTCTACTCACTCTGGATCAGGCTGAGGTATGAGGTACAGTGTTACTTTCCTTTGTCTCAGGAGAAAAAACCCTGATGCACTTGACAGTGTAACCAGCACTTGACCGCAGTGCGTGGAAGAGTCAGATGGCTTCTGCAATTTTCCACCAGGAAGCCCAGGCCCTTGGGAATAACCGGTGGTATTGGGAAAGGAAACCCTTGTGCACATCCGGCCCCTCTATGCTTTATAGACAAGTTTCTACTCCGATATTTATAGTCGAACTCAGCGTTGAATGTAAGATTATCACTGCGTCCAAGGGAAAGTCCCTTTAAGAGATGAAGTTGTCTCCTCTGATTCCAGCATTCTCGATGCTGAGAGTTGCTTCCTTGACCAAGATACTACACGTTCCGACCCTCTGGCTCCCGAGACCGTACCCCTCTGGCCCCCATGCACCAACTCAGCTGCACAGCTGTTCCCTGCAGGCCTCTCCCTCTGGGCTTTTCTTGCCTACAGCACTTTCGCTGTGTGGTTTTTCCCAGTGTGTGTTTCCCTCCCCTTCTGCTAGTCTCTGTCTTCTCATTCTTTGGAACCCAGCATAAATGTAGCTAAAGGGAAAGAAACTCCCCTGATCTTCCTCACGGCCACACAAACCCATGTTAGACCCTCTTGGTATGCTAAATTATACATTAAGAGTGGTTAACAGGGCCAGCAGGTGGCATGGTGATAGAGGGTTGGACTCCCACATGGCTGACTGTAGTTCGAGTCTCAGACCTGGAGGCATGCTTTCTCACTTTCTCTCTCTCTCGCTCTCTCTCTCTCTCTCTCTGGTAAGCACATATGCCCAATAGGAAGTTTAAAAATAATAATAATAACAATAATAATAAAACTAAATACATTTTTAAAAAAGAATAAAAGATTGGCTAACATGGTAAATTATGTTTTCTGTATAATTTGCCACACATGCACAGGAAACCATCCTGAAGTCCCTCATTTTTCTTCCTTGGTGCTTCCCAGGGCCGCAGCTCAGTAACTGTAAACGTGTGTTCACGGTCTCCCTCTACTATTAGAACTTAAGTCCAGTGAGGTAGCAGGAGGCTCACCTGTCTGGCTCACTGTAATACTTAGATGGTCCAGACACACAGCAGGAGCTTAAAAATTACTTGTTGAATGGGCAGGCCCTGTAGCCTAGTGGTTAAGGGAGTCAGATTCCACATGGCCAACTGTGTTTTGAATCGCCCCCCCCCCGCAACCCCCAGTGGCTTGGAAAAGATGTTAGGTTCGTGTGTGAGCACCCAAAATCTCTACAGTAGAGAGAAATGGGGAAGAGACTGTGGTGTGACCACACCCCATTTGGGGGGCTGCCTTTCCCACCCCCCCATCTCTCTCTGGCAAGTGCATGCACCCTTTGGCAACTAAAAAAAAATTACTTGTTGATCAAATAATGAATTAGAAGACAGATCAGAAAGACCACAATGTCAGCCCTTTCCGGAGTCATTTCCTATTTTCTGCCTCTGGTTTTTCTTGTTCTCCCTGCTCAGCATTCAAGGCTGTCTAGGAAATGCTGACTGAGGGCCGACTGCCTTGCACTTTAACATCATATCAATATCCACAAGGGCTTTATGCTGCACCCTGTTCTCAAGTTTAAGAGTGGACCGACACCACTGAGTTTGATCAGCTATGCTGTGTGTTCTGCCTTCACAGGGCACCTGGCTGCCCACACAGAGCACGGGCATGTTGTCAGAGGTTCTGAAAGATTCCTAAGGTCTCACCATAATTTCAATTTAGAGTTGGGCAAGAGTTTCCCAGTTTTGTCTGTACAGGGCAACTAGCAGGGTCCTTCTCAGAGGGACTCCCCCCTTCCTTTTTTTAAAAGAATTATTTATTTGATTCCATTTGTTGTTATTATGATTATTATTTTAATTGACCAGAGACAGGGAAAGTGATAAAGTAAGCCACTAGGTCTGGGGCATGAACTGCGGTCGGCCATGTGGGAGTCCAGCGTCCTAACCACCGGGCCGCCTGCTGGCCCCAGGACACCCCTTTTTGTAGAAACAGAAGGTGTCGGTGGTACAAATGGGATTGAAGAGAGGAAGTCAATCAAGGTCAACAATCATCTATTAAATGATGATGATGTGAGTCACTAAGAATTTTTCAATGAATCGGACAGAAATCCTATCCTTAAAGTGCTTTTGCTCTACTGTCCGGTCAAGGTAGGAAGAACGTTTAGCCACACTTAGAACCTAGAGTGTATTTTAAATCTTTAGCATATAAATTGACTGTATTTTTCTTTTCCTCCAGTGTCTCTGTAATTACGCTTTGCTGTAGGAATGGTGCCTCTATTTCTCCATGGATAGTCATATAATAACGGAGAGAGACTGTTAGGAAGGATCAGTGTGCTCATCTTTGGTGCTTTGACCATGGAAAATGGGAGAAATGGACAGTGAAGCAAAGGCTGGGTCAGCCGTAGTGTTGAGACCGATTGAGACGGCCTCCCCAGCTTAGTCTAGTGAGGTTGGAGCAGGGCAGGGAAGTGATAGCACCAGCCCTGGGAAACCGCTCGGCCATTTGGAGCTGCTTGAGGCCAGGCGCCCACTCACAGAGCTTCGCAGAATTAGCGGTGTCCATCCAGGAACATCCAGGAATCTGCAGGCCAAGCACCTGATGTCACCCACCAGAAAACGTTCCTGGGCAAAGCGGTCCAGAGAAATCCAAGGCCTCAACCTCTGACCTGCCCACCAGGGAACAGGAGCAGGTGTTCCTGGCTCCCACGGGGCTGAGCCGTCGGGGCCTGCACCTGTCTGAAGCTGCTTGCTTCGAGCTCCTCTCGTGTCTGTGCTTCTCAGGTTCCTCCTGATGATGGGCGTGCTCTTCTGCTGCGGAGCTGGGTTCTTCATCCGGAGGCGCATGTACCCCCCGCCGCTGATTGAGGAGCCGGCGTTCAACGTGTCCTACACCAGGCAGCCCCCAAACTCCGCTCCAGGTCAGCCAGCCCCTCTGTCCCCGTCTCTCCCTGCAAACCACTATAAAGGGACTGCCACAGCATATGCTGGAAGGGACCACATTAGGCTATTTTCCTCACGTAAGGTGTAATGGTTAACTTTATTGTGCATTTACATCGATAACAAATGCACCATGTGTTAGATCGTATGCCATCACCTCGTGGGTTTCTTTTAAATAATTATTTATTTAATTTTATTTGTTTTATTATTTTTTAAAATATGGTATAGGGAATACACACTCACCAGAGAGAGACAGAGAAAGCAAGCTGCCAGGTCCTGGGCTCGAACCACGGTCACTCATGCCTAAACCACCACTCACCCAGCGGGCCGCTCACCTTGTATTTTTCTGTGATGAGTGTTGCACCTTATACGTATGCTGTGTCATTTATTTATGCATATTGTTTGCTCTCTGCCTTTTTTCTTAAAAATTATTTCATGTACAAATTTCTGGGTAGGGACAGTAGTGTCTCTGCCAGTCTTAATGCTGGCGGACCGAGTATTAACATCCTACTAAATGGTAATGTTCTTACCTATTCTGTTGCTGCTGATCATTTGTTTTCTTTGTTTTGTCTTTTATTTATATCATTCATGCAGTAAGGACTTATTGTACACTTACAGGTATTCTGAGTATTTCTAAATAGTGAAACTGAAGACATTTTTATACAAGTGACATTTGGCCTATTTAGGACCCATTGCCCAAAATGATGTCCCAGAGTCATAGAGAATTAGCTGGTAAAACATGGCCTTGACTACCTGAGGTTCTTACGCAGTGTGGTGTGTGGGGCCGGCTCCCTCAGGACACAGGCTGTGCTCTGCCGCGGTGTACGAGGTGCTTCCCTTCCTTGGAGGAGAGCCCAGGGCCCTGGAGGACCTGGTAGACACTGCTGATGAGAGCTCAGGCTCCTGTGACTCTGCTCTGGTCACGGTTTCCATGGAGGTGTTGGGGACACGTCTCTGTTGATTGCAAGCTGTAGTAGATGGTCAGAATTCTAGAAGTGGTTGTTGCCTTAACTTTCACGAAGTTTCAGTTCTGTGAAATGAGAAGTCCTAGAGACCTACTGTATGGCGCAGGGCCTGCAATGAACAAAACCATAGTGTACAGTGAGGATTCGCTAGGAGGGTCAAGCTTATGTTCTGTGTCCTTGTCACACAGAATATAATAATACATAAATAAGAGGGCTATGTGTGGAAAGCTGGGTCCTCTGTTAGCAAGACATGGTCTGAATCCTGGCCCCGGTGACTTGAAAAACATTCTGGGCACATGTGCATGCATTCCCCAAATCCTGATGGGGTGGAGAAATAGAGGCCAAAGAATTGGAGCATGAACCACACACCGTTGGGAGGATGCCTTCTCTCTCTCTCTCTCTCTCTCAAGTACACGTGCCCTCTGACAATAAATATAATAAATAAATAAATAAATAGGAGGGCAGAGGAGGTGATAGATATGTTTATGGCATAGATTGTGGTGATAATTTCATGGCTTATCCTGTTGCCAAACTCAAGTTGTAGTCATTAAATATATACAGATGGCCTCCAGTTTAGAATGGTTAGACTTGCAATTTCTTGACTTCACAATGCATTGACTTGCAACTCTCTGTCTTCCCAATGGGCTTATCAGGATATTAAATGCATTTTCCACTTACAGTACTTCCAACTTACCATGAGTTTATCAGATGTAACCTCATCATAAACGAGGGCGTTTCTGTAGAGTTTTTTTACATGTCAATGACACCAATCATATCTCAACAAAGTGGCTTAAAATAAAAGAGAGAAGAAGGTTGATTGAATGTAAAAGGACGAAAACAAAGTGTCTTCTCTTCTCTGTTTCTCCTGAGGACAAGCTGTTTCCAAGACGTAAAGAAGATGAAGCTGGTCATGTGCATACTTGTTCTTTTACAAGTTTATTCTACCAGATGCTTTAAAAGGGCTTCTTTAAAAAAGAATGCCCTTTTTATTTAAAAAGATTATGCTCAGAGGTGATATGGAGGCACAGTGGTAAAACATGCTGTTCTGTGATGCCGATCCACCTGCGAAGGCTCTGGGTTCTTGTCTGGAGGCCTCCCTGAGTACGTGGAGCGCATGCGTGCCTGCGGTCTGGGACTGGCCGAGGCTGGCAGTGGATCCTGACATCAGGACCCTGTTCTCTTTCTCTCTGTCTCACTCATGGAAGAAATTAAAAATAAATTTAAAAAACAGAAAGATAGGAATGCATAATTTTTTAGAACAGTTCAGTGGGAGCTGTACCTTAAATTTTTACTCAGGGCAAGTACCAGTTTGCATTTATAAGTAGATTTTGTTTCATATTTGTAAATATCTGAATGCTTTCAAATTTGTGCTTTCTCCTAGATGAATATTTTTCAGGTAAAATGGGAGGCAAAGACAACTCCCTCCCCTCCGCCAAAAAAAAAGAAAAAGAAAGAGAGAGAGACAAGATCAGAGAAGTGGGTTATTTGGAGAGTTAGGGGTTTTCTCTTCTTTCTGTGTTTGCTAAGATTTCAGTACAGGAAAGAGCGGCCATTATCCCACACGGCACACAGGTGCAAGGTGTCCTTGGTCCTTAGTGCTGGCCAAGTGTCAGCGTCTGTGTCTGTGGCTCGTCTGAACGGTGGTGGCTGCAGTGACATGCTTAGACCCATGCCTTCCCCTGCATGGTTCCCCTCGAGAGTCCCGTGGTATCTCAGGATTTCCTGGCGTAACGCGTCCCTGCACCTTCTTCCGTCAACCCCCCCAAGCCGTGCCTGCTACAAGTTTTCCTACTCACTGGTCTCCTCCAGCTCCTCTCCGTCTTCCATGTGGCCACCAGAGAGTTCTTTTTACAAACAGAAAAAATAAAAAACAGAAACAAAAAGCAGCAGGTCATGTTTTTCAGCTGCTCAGGGTCTCTGCCCATCACTTTGCTCACAGGGGCAGGTGCAGACTCCTGACCCGAGGCGAGGGCTATCTGCAGGCTCAGCCGTTGCCACCCACCTCAGTGTCCACACGGACTGGCCTCCTGTCTCCAGTCCTGCTGTCACACTGGGCCCGGCACATGCCCTTCCTCTTTCTGAAGAACCCACTCTTCCTCCAGGTGCTGCTCTGTTACCCCCGTGGTGAAATCGTCCCCAACCATTTCCCTTCTCCCCTGGACATATGGACAGCTTTTGGGGTGGGTTTTAATTCTTCATATGGACATTATGCTCCTCCCAGGCCCCCTGTAGGACTCATGTCCCAGGCACCAAGCAGACGCCCAGCCCATGTGAACCAGGTGTCCAGGATGACCTGGGACCGGGAGTCCAGGCCTGCCTGAATCGTTCTCTCGGCTCTTATTTACCGCACGCCTGCTAAGTCTCCTGCAGGAGCTCGGGCACAAGGGTACGGCCTGGATTCCAGCCCCCACTTGTCCCCATGTGCAGTGCTTGGCTTGCACACCCATGCGGAGCTCTGAGTGTCATAACTGGAGAGTTACGGACCTGGACCGTGATGAGAGCTCTAGAGAAAAGGCTGAGGGTGACGGGAAACCGCGAAAGTGGAAACTCAGTCTGGTAGGCAGACCGAGGAAGGCTTCCATGGATGTGTTAGCAGACAGAGAGGCTGGGCTGTGTTGTGGGAAATACTCGGTTCTTTGGGTCCAGGCCTCTAAGGTTAGAGACCCGCCCTGAGACGCAGAGTTAAATTACAGATGTGAGTAAAGTATGAAGAGAAGTTTTTAATAGAAGAGTGAAGATGTTTAACAACAACAACAAAAAAAACACCCACACCAGCAGGACATGGGGGTGGCAGCTGCCAGAGGGGACAATAGCCCTGAGGACGAGGTTAGGGGCTGCTTTCATCCCAGGATCTTGTTATGAATACACGTGAGGGGCGTGAGGGGAGGTCTGTCATAGGCAGCTCTTTTGCGTGACCCTGTGGGCTAGCTGTGCCTGCGACCTCTCCTCACCCGAGGGAAATCGATTAGCTGGTTGAGGGAAGTCAAGCGCATTCCCGCGTGGACGCTGAAGGTGTAAGCACGGGGATGATTTTGCCCATATCGGTTTACTGCCTCGAGTGGGAGGTATTGAAGAAACACTGAATGGAACGGCAGTAGGGAGGCTAGGACCCTTCCCTCGGCCTTCAAAGGAAGCTTAGGTAATAAAAGTAGATCTACCTCTCGGTGCCAAGGGGTCTGCCGCGATTCCTGCTAGCGGTGACTGATGTGTCAGATGTCCCTTTTGTTGTCAAATTGGGACTCCCAGCTCGTAACGCCTACCTATAACAAAGGGTCGTTTGGACTGAAGTCAGAAATAACGTTTCCTTGGGGCTGAGGTGGGAAACAGTCGGAGGCAGAGTGGGCAGGAGGCCCCTGTGACCTTCCTTTCCAACAGCCTTTTAAACCCGCAAAGACAACTGAGCTGCAACCCCCTAGCAGGCACTGTTAGTCCCAGAGCCATGCAGCAACTGCAGACGTCCAAAGGTGGGTGAGTATGAGAGGCTCCAGGGCAGGAGAAGAACAAATAAAAATACCCAGTACCCCTGGAAAGAGCAGAGAAAGACCCCTGGGGAGTAGACCAGGGAGAAGCTACTGAGGGCCAAGCTCCTGTGCCCTTTTAGGGGTGGTTGTTACCACCAGAGTCACAGAGGGGTGGCCTGACTCCACTCCACACAGGGATGTGTTAGCAGACAGAGAGGCTGGGCTGTGTTGTGGGAAATACTCGGTTCTTTGGGTCCAGGCCTCTAAGGTTAGAGACCCGCCCTGAGACGCAGAGTTAAATTACAGATGTGAGTAAAGTATGAAGAGAAGTTTTTAATAGAAGAGTGAAGATGTTTAACAACAACAACAAAAAAAACACCCACACCAGCAGGACATGGGGGTGGCAGCTGCCAGAGGGGACAATAGCCCTGAGGACGAGGTTAGGGGCTGCTTTCATCCCAGGATCTTGTTATGAATACACGTGAGGGGCGTGAGGGGAGGTCTGTCATAGGCAGCTCTTTTGCGTGACCCTGTGGGCTAGCTGTGCCTGCGACC